GTGAGTCTGTAGTAATAGTGTTCCGTTGCTCCGCGTGATTATCCAAAAACTCGAGCCCTTTTTCTATAAAATGGCCTACATGCACGGCTGCCCTAGTTTTGGGCCATACTGGGCCACCGCGACGTGCGCCCAGCCATGTCGTGCTGGGCTATCGGGCCTAAAGGGTCGCTGTCGGCCCTTTTCTTTTTCTAATGTATTTTCTAATTTAGTTTCTAAGGGAACTTATAAATTCAAGATAAATTTATGTAGATGTCCAAAAATTGTGAAACCAATTTTGTTAGGTTCCTAAAATCATGATCTATCTATTAGTATATTTTGTTCATATAGTTTTATAATATTTTCAGGGGTTATCTAATCAATTTGAAATATCTTAATATTGTAAGATATAAACCTGTAGGAATTGTTGTGATAAATTGGTGATAGTGTTGGCTCTGAAATTTTCACAGTAAATTCCTCACATTATTAGGTGCTCACTGTAATTTTGTAGCTCTATAAAAATTAGTTTGTTAAGGTAACTAAATGAGCCCTAGTACGAAAATATATATTTAATCAATCAAATGTCAAAAATAATTGAGGGTTTGCAGAACGAAAATATTTTTCGAAAACAAGCCTTACTTGGCGACGTGGATACATAGACTAGTACGTTAGTCATTAAACTAGCTTGTTAGCTCGCGAAGCGTAATCGTATTATAGAGTTGCAGTTACCATTGATTAATTACGTCTCTGCGTTGCATCCACGTATATCATAATAGGAACAACGATGGATCGTGGAGATGACCGAAGTAGCAGAAAAGATGGTGCCTTGTTGATCGTGTCACCATGATAGAATATTAACTTTTGGTTATATCTTACCCAGGCAAGCCCCAATGCATAACCTCTATTATTCTGCACTTTATTTTATGCTTGTGCATTAAGTTTTAACGAGTTGAATGAAAACCACTTGCATATATATATCCTTATCCTATGAGTCCTACTAGTATGTCAAGATCGTATAGATTGCTATGCTATAGGATCTGATAAAAGTCGAGTGATTATCTATTATTCGTGAGAGATAGAAAAGATATTATTGTTGTTATTATATTACTATCACATGGAATATAAATGAATGATAATTGGAGACCGGGTGGAATTGTACTTTGGATCTGGACTTGGTTAGGCATTCGAGCGAGGCTCGGATTGCACTTTGTTCCGCCTGTGTCAGTTAAGGACCGACCGTTGCATTGGATTCTAGTCAGGTCACAGACTTATTATCGTGAGCACATACTTGCTTATGGGAGCATAAAGGCTCGTTGCTCTCTTGTTGTGGGTTCCAAATCTTTCTGGACCGATTGATTGGAGGTGGGGATGGTGGAGGTCTAAGCACCACACTGAGTTCGGGACTCAGGTGTGGGGGCTTGGAGTCCAAGTTTGGACGGGGACCTAGACCCCTTGATAGGAGAGTGTGGGTTGGTCCTGCTTGTGCCTGGGGTACAAGCGGGGCGTGTGTTTCAGGGTACCCAGCTGGGATACATTGATTCATGAATCGTCGTGTAATACGGTACAACTTGTCTACGATCTAGCACAGTAATAAGAACTGAAACATGAAATATGGTAAAATGTTTCTGATTGCTTACCACCTGCTTGAAAGTAGCACATGTGCTTACATAGAATGGTTAGTTAATGAACTAATGATGACTGCTAATAAAATTGAATATAAGGATGCACGCGTAGTAATGCCTCCTGTAGATACAATAAACCCACAAGCTAGATAGCCTTGCATATCCTTGAAGTCTTTTCTTTCCTCCTGACGGGTAAGTATTGCGGAGTACAATTGAGTACTCAGGGTTTGTTCTACCCTGTTGCAGGTGACAGGTGGATGCTAGAGCTGACACTTGTGTGTGGGAACCTCCTGGTGGGCTCAGCGAGGATTTCCTTAATGTTGCGGACATAGAGTTTATTTGAAAATTTCACCCAAAATGTTTTACAATGGAAAAACTTATAACCTGTTATGATGTATATAACGGATCATCATGTTAATGCTTAACTTGTCATTAAATAATTTTGTTTCCGCTGAAACTCTGATAACATGGTTATATTCTGCTGTTATAAACAATAAATATTATACTCTGATGTTGCATGGAAAGTGATGTAAGAAATGTCTTAAGAATATTGTACGCTTTATTCTCTCATTTGTGATCCTAATAGAAAAATGTGGATTTTCGTGTTCTCCCTTGGGGTGTGCTCGACGGAACTACGTAATTTAGTGTCCTCCCTTGAGTACTTAGTATCTAATAGAAGACAAGTACTCCTAGGAGGCATTAGATTATGCGGTTTTGCCACAACTCCTAACCTTAACTTTGCGTTCATGTGAAGGTGGTCCCCTCTACGTCCATTGAACACAAATCTATTGCTAGTAGATGTTGCTTTTCTAATTTTGACATTCATGTGAAAGTTTTCTTCCTTCTAATCCCATAGGTGCAATCCCTTGTATCTACAAAGCTATTAGCATACCCTCCTCTTCACATGACATTGGTTCCTCTCTTAATAAGTCTATAGCACACAATCCTATCATGAGCATCCCTGACCTAATTTTGGTGTTCACGTGAAGGTGGTCCCCTCTATGCCTACTGAACACAAATCCATCGCTAGCAGCCCTCTTTTTCTATCTTTGACATTCACACGTGGTGTCTTCCCTCTAAACCATAGATACATTCCCTTGTATCCATAGGAACTGTTAGTAGGCCCTCCTTTTGCATGACAATGGCTTCCCTCTAAATTTGTAACACATAGTCCCATCAAGAGCACTCCTAACCTTAACTTTGCGTTCATGTGAAGATAGTCTCCTCTACGCCTATTGAACACAAATATATTGCTAGCAGACGTCGCTTTTCTAATTTTGGCATTCACGTGACAGTGTCTTCCTTCTAAGCCCATAGATGCAATCCCTTGTATCTACAAAGTTGTTAGCATACCCTCCTCTTCACATGATGTTGGCTTCCTGTCTTAATAAGTTCATAGCACACAATCCTATCATGAACATCCCTGATCTAACTTTAGCATTCACATGAATGTGGTCGCCTCTACGCCTACTGAACACAAATCCATCGCTAGCAGCCCTCTTTTCTAACTTTGACATTCACGCGTGGTGTCGTCCCTCTAAGCCCATAGATACAATCCCTTGTATCCATAGGAACCGCTAGCAGTCCCTCCTTTTTGCATGGCGATGGCTTCCCTCTAAATTTGTAACACATAATCCCATCATGAGCACTCCTCATCTAACTTTGAGGTTTCACGTGAAGGTGGTCCCCTCTACACCCACCGAACACAAATCTAGTTTTCTAACTTTGGCATTCACGCGACAGTGTCTTCCTTCTAAGCCCATAGATGTAATCCCTTGTAGACCCTCCTCTTCACATGACATTGTCTTTCTCTTAAGTCTGTAGCACATAATCCTATCGTGAGCATCTCTAACTTAACTTTGGCGTTCACGAGAAGGTGGTCCCCTCTACGCATACCGAAAACAAATCCATCGCTAGCAACCCTCTCTTCTAACTTTGGCATTCATGCGGCGGTGTCTTCCCTTTCCCTCTAGACCCATAGATATAATCCCTTGTATCCATAGAAGCCGTTAGCAGGCCCTCCTTTCCGTATGACAACGACTTCCCTCTAAAGTCAGAACACATAATCCCACCAGCGGGCACTCCTCCCCTAATTTTGACGTTTCACGCGAGGTGGTCCCCTCTATGTCCACTGAATAGAAATCTATCGCTAGTCGCCCTTGCATTTCTTACTTTGGCATTCACGCAGCGGTGTCTTCCTACGAAGCCCATAGATGTAATCCCTTATATCCACAAAAGCTACTAGTAGACCCTGCTCTTCACATGACGTTGGCTACCTCTTAACTCCATAGCACACAATTCTATCGCGCGCATCCCTGACCTAACTTTGGTGTTCACGTGAAGGAAGTTTCCCTCTATGCCTACTGAACACAAAATCTATCGCTAGCAGCCCACTTTTCTAACTTTGGCATTCACTTGGCGGTGTCTTCCTTCTAAGCCCACATATACAATCCCTTATATCTACAAATTCCGCTAGCTGGCATTACTATTCGCGTGACGTTGCCTTTGCTCTTAAGTCTATAGCACACAATCCAACCATGAGCATTTCTCTCATAACTTTGACGCTCACATGATGGTGGTTTTCCTTTCCACCCATAGAATATAATATTACAAATTCTGCTAGCAGGCATTACTCTTTGCGTGACGTTGCCTTCGCTCAGTCTATTGTGCATAATCCTACCGTGAGCATCCCTCTTCTAACTTTGGAGCTCATGTGATGGTGGTTTTCCTCTCCGCCCGTAGAATATAATATTACAAATTCTGCTAGCAAGCGTTACTCTTCGCGTGATGTTGCCTTCGCTCTTAAATCTATAGCGCATAATCCTACCGTAAGCATTCCTCTTTTAACTTGGATGCTCACATGATGGTGATTTTCCTCTCCTCCTATAGAATATAATATATCTATCGCTAGCTGCCCTGTATTGGCCCTAGTTTACGTGTTGTTTTTTTTATATTTAAGCCCACGTTCCCCTCCAAAAGCACTACAGTGATCCTTTTAAAACCCTTCCTGTTCCGACTCCCACAACAAAATTCAGTGCGAGAGAAAAGAAAAGGAAAAACGAAAAAAAGAGGAAAAACTAGAAAAAAATACACCCAAGGGAAGGAAATTAGGAAAGGGTGGAGGTGGAAGCCACAAACCAAACCCTCTCAATCTCGTCTTCCCTCCTGCTTCGTGCTTCCCCTTCCACTTCCCCCTTCTCGTCTGCGGCGCCAAGCTCGAGCTCATCGCCACCGAGGTACGCATCTTTCCCCTGAGAACTCCGAGCTCTAATCTCTCACCACAATCCCCAAATTTCTGATTTTCTGGGATGTATTCTTTTTCTGATTTTTTGCGCGCAAGGTTGGCTCGATCTTGGGTTTTGGCCTATCCGCGAGGAAGTTGAATTAGTTGGGGACTTCGTGATGGCTGCTGCGAAGGCGGGTGTAGACGTGGAAACGAGGGACGGCGGCGGCGGCTCCTTCAGCGAGGAGAGGCTTGTTGATAAGCTCAACAAGCTCAACAACACAGCGGCGAGCATTCAGAGTATCCTTTGTTTTTCTCCCGTGGTTACTTCTAGGTGTTCCTGGCTGTTTCTTCCTGTTTCGGTTAATCTAGTATATCCAGTAAAGCCCTAACTTGCAAATTGGAATGCCTATGTAAGAACTGGCTATGAGATCGATTGTGCACACGAAGTTACCCTTCTTTGTTTAGCTCCGTACAGTGCTTGCTGTGTTGTTGGTAGTGTGCTGGTGCACATGGGTAGAAATTATAAATCCTCTTGTGTATGAATTTAATGTGTTTATGTTACTGCACTCCCTGAAAATTCTCTTGATTTTAGTGCCTTTCTCGGTAGTTTATTTGAGAAAAGTGCTTCTTTTATAGGTCATGCAACATTTTCTGGATTTCTAATTAGCTTTGGTGCTGCAGTTCATTTTATTCTTTTTTATCCTTGAATATAAGCGCGTAGAAATCAACTTTCACGTGCTCGAATGGTGAGGGCTAGGTTACTAATCTCCTTTTACTAGTACTATCACCATGACTATGCCACTGATACCCTTTTCATTTTACTTCTTTATACTTTTTGTTGGTGGCTCTTGTTGGGTGGGTTTCATCTCTAGCCTACCCCAACTTTCTTGGGACTAAAATATTTTTTTTTGTTACTCCCAATTTTGCCTTTCATTTAGATGTATATATATGATTTTCATTGTCATTTGAGGCTGTCCCCTTTGTGAAATGGGAAATCTTAACAGGAACTCCTAGGAGTCTACATTTTATCAGTAATTACTAGGTTATATATGTCTCTTGCTTGTTGGGTACTTATTTTTGCTATCCTGGCTATCCTGTTCACTAAATTAATTGAGCAGAACAATTATATGCCACATCCTTTAATAAGGACCTAAAGTTTTAGTCATATGATTCTAACTGCTATCTAGTTTTTTCCCCCTGGTTTCTGTTATTTATGCAATAGTACGGTAGTAACTAGTAAGCCTGTTTTACTTTTGGTTAGCTCTTTGAACAATCTTTATGGAAATCTGCTGCTATTTTTCTGTTTCGTGTTCAAAACAAATTCTGCAGCATTTTATTGCGCTGAAAATGTATTTCTCAAAACTACTCTGCCTTTTACATTATGGATATATATGACCTCTTATTGCATAAATAAACACATTCTGCGGGGCATACTTTTGGAGTTTGATGTACAGGTGCAGTAAAAATCGTATCATTGTTTCGATATCAATGTACTTGCTTCTGCATGAGAAATTCCATGCCATATGTGGTATATGCCATCCATTTCTAAGCAAGTTGCTATGAAATATACTGCATATGTTGCTGTGTCTCTTAGAAATATCAAATATCAAAACATACTAACAATTTGTGCCTTGTAGAAGAAAAATGATCTTGTTCCTTGTTAACTTTTCACGCTTACATTCACCTAATTTGATCTCCACAGCTAAACTTTAGGTTTTATGAGCAATGTTATTATTTGTTTCCCTCAGAACATGTTCTGCTTCTTGAGATTTAATATGACACTCACTGTAAAATTGGAAGGAAACAGCAGAACTTTTAACACGTCAGTAGAAATCTACAGGGTAGGTAGAGTTCATAGATGGCACCTATATAATACCTAGTATCTATGTTCCCCCTTTTTTTCATGTTGATGGTTGGTGGACTCAGTTTGTAGTTTATATACCTTGTGTGCTTTAAGTAATAAATGGCCAAATTGGTTATTTATTTCCTTATTTCCTCTATCTGTGCATATGTCAAATTTAATTAGAATTTTATATTTTTCCTATGTAAGTTTGCATCTAAATATTGCATTAGCAGTTCTTTCTTGTATTCCTTAACCCTTATGCAGCACTTTCACAATGGTGCATTTTTCACCGCAAGAGGGCCAGAAGGGTTGTAGACACATGGGAAAAGCAGTTCAGTAGTGCAACAGAGGATAAGAAAATATCATTCCTATTTCTATCAAATGATATCTTGCAAAACAGTAAGCGCAAAGGAGGAGATTATGTGCATGAGTTCTGGAGGGTTATACCCAGATCGTTGAAACATGTCTCTGAAAAATGGGGAGAAGAAGGAATGAAACTAGTGGTGGCGAGACTAGTAAGTATTATCTTGTTTCACTATGATGAGATTAATTCTTCGCAGTGCAGCAGCTCCTAGAGTTGTTCTAGAGCCTTGTCCAAGAATGCAGGAGGACCTAAATGTTTTAGTACAATTAAAGTACTATAGTACCATTGAATCAATGGCCAATTCAGTTTAATTGTAGCAAACTATTGGAGTTATATGCTATTAGTTGCTTTATGTTATTCAAATATCCTTATTACTCTCCTGGCGCACTTTTCTGGATTCCAGATAGTACTTGTTTGCTCTGATGTCTTTTGAAGCTATGATCATGGTCATGTCCATGGTGCATTCAATTTTGGTATATATAATTGTATGTACAGAAATTGAGAGCTTAAACTAACTAGAACATAATCAATTAGTAAAGCATTTAGCCTTTTAGTTTGTAGCCTAATTTCCTCCATTTCCAATAGTGTTGGGTTTAATGAATATCTTGTTTTCTTAAACACTGTCTTGCCTGGTAAGTTGCTACTCATCTGCCAGAAGCAGTGATTCAGGTTTTCTTCCACTGGTGTTTCTGATGTTATAAATATTTGGAAGGGTCGTTCAATTTTAATCATAGTTTTCTTGGTCCTTCATTAATACTGTGTAAAGAAATTTGCTGCAAAATCTGCCGGGATAATGTGCACCAATAGGACATGATACTTTATTGAAACTAGACTAAATACTGGATAACTGATGGCTAATTTGATTTGCTTCATTTTTTCTTGGAAATCCAGAATAAAAAGATTGTTTCTAACTTATCTTTTGGAATTACAGATAGGAATTTGGGATGAACGTAAAGTTTTTGGAACCCGTATTGAAAGTTTGAAAGACAGCATTTTTGGTGACAACCCTCCTATATTCGATAACAATGGGAATAAGAATAATTCAAATCCTAGCTCTAAGCCCTTAAATTCCAAAATTGCAAGGAAGGATTCCAGTACAGTACTAAAAGTAAGTTGCTAGTTATCCTATATCACTCTCCTTTTTTGGTGAAAACATATTGAATTGGATATGAGAGTATTAACTTGTTGAATTCTTCTGTAGAAACTGACTGTTGGTGGTATGCCTGAAAAGATTGTGACTGCATACCAAGCTGTGCTTGATCAACATTTTGATGAAGACACAGCTTTGAACAAATGTAAGAGTACTGTTAGTGTTCTAGAAAAGATAAAGAAAAATATAGACGATGCTAGTGCCAAAGGTAAGGATTTATCGTGCTCACTAGTTATTAACATTGTGGATATCTGCTGTGGAAGAAAGTTTGACACCATTCTTATCTGTTCTGCTTTTTTTTTTTTGGTCTGCATGTTTTTTCATAAGGTGATCAGCCTGCCTCAACAATGATTTCTGATCTTCAAGAACAGGAAACTATCCTGAAGCAGTGCATTTCACAACTTGAAAGTGTAGATGTGGCGAGGATATCGCTGATAAATCAATTAAAAGAAGCTCTCATTGAACAGGTCTTATGCACACTTTCATTATCTTCCAAATGTTCCATCTCAGTTACATTTGACTCATGCTTTTCAAAATTGTCTTTCTTATTTCTATAACAGGAGTCAAAGTCAGAAATTCTTCGCATCCAGTTGCAAGTAAGAATTATTCTTTATGCCCTATTGCATGTTGGCTTTTCATCTGTTATTGTTCCTTGCAATCATATCCGTCCACAGCTATGAAAATGGGTACTATTAGAGGATATGTGTAGAACTTCAAGTGGAGAGACCTAATCCGTTCATTCCCAACTGAATTCTTGTTTTCATAAATGGCACCTGCACTAGTAAGCCATGAGCATGTGTGTTGTCTGAGCCATCTAGCACCTTTATGGCACAAGTATGCCTCTTGCCAGTTCTGATTCCTACCTGGCCAAACCCATGTTCACTTAAAACTATTTATTAATTCCACTACTCACTTGAACTATTTATTTATTGATTACAACTTTAAGTCTGTTATGTTGAGAAAACCCACCTAGAGTTCTTTCTTAGCACCTTGAGATTAAGCCTGTTATATTGAAAAAGCCCACCTAAACTGCTTCCATAGCAACTTGAGATGTTTGATCACCTTTCAGAGTGGTCTTCACATCCTTCTAGTCTGGCCTTTGCATTTCTCTGTTTTGTGCCTTGGGTGATGCCGACATGCATGTCTTGATTCCAGTTGCTGCTTCTCAATTAGCTCCTTTTTTTTCTGAAATTTATTTATGGTGTAATAGGTGTAATAATCTTTTAGCTGAAGGGCGGGCCTGGTGCAAGTGGTAGAGTCTTACCGCCTGTGACCGGAAGGTCCCGGGTTCGAGTCGCGGTCTCCTCGCATTGCACAAGCGAGGGTAAGGCTTGCCACTGACACCCTTCCCCAGACCCCGCACAGAGCGGGAGCTCTCTGCACTGGGTACGCCCCTTTTTAATAATCTTTTAGCTGTCTTATGACATTATTGGTAATCCCTTATCTGATTGCCATAACAGGTTGCTCGAGCAGAGGCTGAACATGCCATTCAACTTAGGCAAAGATTTGATGGTGCTGTTGTCGCAAATGGCACAGGATCTAGTTCTAGTCTGGTAATGATTACCCCAACAGAACAAACAGCTGCTATGATACAGGGTTCTGGAGTAAGGCAGATGTCTCCCCAGTTACAGTCACTGAATCCAGCAACCTCACTTGCCCCTACAGTCAGTGCAGTGGGAGATGAGCCCAAGAGAACGGCAGCAGCAATGGCAGATAAGCTGGCATCTTTGTCAGCACCTGTGCAGGTTCTGAGCTCCATTTTATCATCTTTTGTTGCTGAACATCGCGCTTCACTATCTTCCATGAATAGTGGATCGCCTTCTGGAGAACTCTCTGGAGGACTGCCGGGCTTCCAGATTGAAAAGAGGCCTAGGCTTGAGAAAACCGCACAGGGCAGTGACATGGGTGCTCCTCCCTTTTCTGTGCAAGTGCCACAGATGCAACAACAGATTGGAGCAGTGCCCACGCAACTACCAGCGCAGATCAACCAAGTACCAGGTCCATTTGCACCACCTCCACCGCCATTTTTGCCACCACTTCTGCAACAATTTGGTCAAAGTACTGGAGGAATGATGGGAATGGGACCTTTCGGGATGACGGCCGGCTCTATGCCACCTCCGGCTCCAATGTCCAACATTATGCCGGTAGGTTTTCCAGGACCAAGTGGTCCACCACCTCCACCTCGGCTTCCACCGGCTCAGAACCAACCCCAGCAGCAGCAGCAGTCTCCTCAGGCACCACAGCAATCACCCACGTCAGCAGGATTCTTCCAATCATCAGCAGGCATGGGGTTCTTCCCACCAGTGCGGGTGCAACAGTCTCCGTCTGCCCAACGACAATGACTCGATGGTGGCATGGCATTCATCGGGCTATAAAGGCAGCACCTTGTGCTAACTTTTGTACATTAAACAATAATCACCTAGTATCGAACTTATACGTGACTGGCCCTGCAAGAGAGGCAGGACCGTTGTCACGGTTAGAAAAAATTGTAGAATAGGCATGAGGGTTTTGTGATGACTCCTTGGTTTGGTCTGAGCTGTTTAACTCTTCCTGGTTCTGTGTAGTAGTTAGACTTCTCTTTCCCCCCATTTGCATTGATCCCCTGAGGCAAAAGAAAGTGGCACTGGAATTGTTGCTTAAGAGTTGCCCTCTGACATAACGGTTTTAGGGTTGGGCTGATGCCGTTTTAGAACTTACTGGTCATAGTGTCATAGATATGATGTGAACTGCAAATACTTCTCCCGTTGTTGTTTAAATTTATTTATTTATATTTATTATTATTATTTTTTAGTATAGCTTCCCTTTTGGGTGCAAATTGCTGCTTTCCTTTGACTTGGCAGTTATTAGACAAGGGCCAGTTTGGATCAAGTGCTGTGATTCAGAAATCAACAGACTTGAGTTGTGTGAATAAAACCGAGCGTGTATGGTCTGCTGAGGTAAAAGATTCCTTTGATGTAAGTTATGCATTGTGAAATGGGACAGCAGTATTTGGTCCAATATGAGAAGATTGTGTAGATGAGAAGCATATATAACAGTACATGATAACCAAGCCTTGTCACAGCTGAGGATATGGCAGCAAGCAAGGAACTGGCAGCAGTGGAGTAGGTAGAAATTGACACATTTTTTCCCCAAATTCAATCTTCCGGTGGAGTTATCGCACATCATTTATGTGATGTTTTTTATTTAAAAATAATGGTAACATATGTTCAACTTCTTATTCTTGATGCTTCTGCGGTTCTACAGGTAAACATTCACTGCATTTTTATTATAGTAGCACACATTTATGTATGGGCTCTTGGCAGTGTAAGGGTCATGACTTTTGCCACATTATTATTACATATAAGTTTGTACATAGAACAACACCGACAATAACGACTCCATCCAAATATTTACAAATTACAATCATTCAACACGAACAACACAGCATATTTAAGAGAGTGCCCAGGGAACACACAATACCCCATACACAGTGGCCATATACAAGCATGTAGCTCATAGGAACGACGGCATGTTAATCTATATATAATACTTGCATGGCTGCGGTGGGTGCTAATTTTACCTTACCATGACTCATTCGAATATCATCCACCATTCAGACATATCATCATTTTCTTCATGAACATAATTATTCTCTTTCTTAAGATCAACCACGATCCTTGTTTTTTGAGAACGTTTCTTGTCATTACCCAGGTCAATATCATGATAACAACCTGTGAATGGGGAGTGAATTTCCAACTCTTTGAGCTCAGGAACCATGCTCACCTCAACTTCAACAATCTCCAGCACTTCCACGTCAATCATCTTGATCTTTTTGAGGCGTGGAAATTTGGATGAAGCAAATACAAGTTTCTTGTCCTTGTACGAGCCAGGGTACAATGCAAGGGTGGCAAGAAATGGCAGCTCAGACAGCTTGTTAATGAATTCCTGAGTCACATATGTTTTCTCCAGAGAAAGCATGATGAGATTAGGGAGACAAAAGAATTCACTATCATCTAGATCAGATGAATGTACCAGATCCCCACTTAGGAACATAAACTTGACACGTCGGAGGGAAGCGGTGGTGAAGACATTTGAAGGAATAATTTTACCTTCTAAGATCAGGGTCCTAAGGCTCTCAAGTTTGTCTAGAGCACCAGAAAGAGCTTTCACATTGACATGTGAGATATGCCAGATTGACAAGAACTCAAGATGGATCATCTCTCCTAGTGTCCTTTCCAAAGTCAGCTCCTCCGAAACTTCTTCAAGATCTATGGAGTCAAGTGTATGCAATTTGCTTCAAGTTGCCAATTTGCTTAGGCGGTGCGAGGACAAAACCAAGGACATGTCTCGGGGTCTTAATCATCCAAAAGGACCTTGGGAGCTCTCGGACATTAGTTTCCCTCACATCCAATGTTTGGAGGCTAGTGAGTCTTCCGATGGACCGTGGGATATGTTTCAGTGAACATGATGTGATGCCAAGGTACTGCAAGTGCACAACATTGCCAATTGCACTTGTCAAAGTCTCACCAATCTCAATGCCTTGCGTGATTGATGACACGGAGAAACTCAGATCCATGAAACAGTTCCTTGATGTGAGATCTGATGTCTTTCTTCATCTTAGAGATTGCCCTTCGTTGAGATAAATGAAACATATATGCCCGACTTCCTTTGGACCTATGCCCCTGATCACCTTTATTAGGCTCTTGCTCATACTGAGAGAAGATGGATCGTAGCTTTGGCAATGGATGGGCTAGGACAGCATATTTGTCGGTGTAGTTACGTAGAGAGAGGCGGCGAGCACTAGTTAATGTAGGGATATCATCATGGCTATGGACCTCCACGAAGCTTGCTTCATGTGCTTCTTCTATCTGCAAAAAGTCATGGACTTTGTTTTGGATTGTGACCGACATACTCCTAAAGCTGGAATCATCATCCATTTTCACTTTCGGTTGACAAGATTTCGATTAATCAACTCGAGATAGGTAGATGTAGCCAATCTTCTCCATTGTCTTCCCGCCCTTTGAACTTAGAAATCCCTCTGCAACCCACATAAATACCAAAGCTGCGTGCCTCAATTGTAGTGTTGGTTGGCAACATGACAAAGTAGAGGAAGCAACATTTTAGCTCATGTGGAAGATCATCAAAGCAAGCGATAGCATGCTTTCAAGATTGATGGCTTGGACTTAAGGTAGTGAAAACCTTCACCCACTCACTTGGGAACACCTTGGTTTGCACAAGACCTGATAAAAGAACAACCGCCAAAGGTAACCCTTGGGTGATTTTGAAAATACTCTTTTGGTACTTCTTAAGGTTTTTATCTTGCAGTTCCTTAGGTAGCCTCACGGCGAAACAATGACATGGAAGCATCTTACATAAGTTTTTTTAACTGAATGGTGACATGATGGTAGTTGCTAGGTGGCTCTTCTGGTTTACCTTGTGTGATATGCACTACTCTACTACCCCTAGTGCCAACTGGGATGCTAGTCAAAAAGTGCTTCCACTCAGTACCACTGACTTCACCATCTATCACGAGCAAGTATTTCTTATTTTTCAATTTGTTTTGCAGCATCTTCTGTGCCTTTTCTTTAGGGCAATTCGTGTCGTCTTCTGTCAGTTGCTGAGTAATTTGTTGAAGGATGTTGGGAGCAGTCAAATAAGGTGCAAAACTTTCCATGGCTTGCACTTGAAACACTTTCTTCTTTTCCATTTTTTTGTATATGTCTCTCACAAGAGTTGTCTTGCCAATACCACTTTCTCCGGACACAGTGATCATGACTGGATAGTGTTCTTTGCCCACTTGGTGTTCAGTTAGGTTATTAACAAGGGCATACTCTAATTGTTTGTGCTCCTCCACATTTATCACCGCATCTGAATCATGGACATCATCCCTGAGATTCAACCATTGTATAGTGGTTAGTACCAATAAGTTTAGTGTGAAGAGTACGTTGATCAAACATAGTGCCAAATATAATCTATCCATTGCCCATCGATATTTTTTTCAGAAAAGATGAAAATAATCTTCCATTTCTTTCAGTCAATATATGCCTCAATCAGCCAAAGTTACTCTGCAAATAAAAGTGAGAAGGGATACCACTATAACACCACATGCACAATACAGAGGCATGCATCTTAAGACTGCCGCCACACTACCTCTATAAATCGATTTAAAGAGGTGGCATGGATCCTTGGACCCATTGAATGGAAGTTAAACGCTATCTACGAATAATTATAGGACTCTCGAAAATCCTTTTTAGTAGTGATGTGCCGGTTGCCTTTAAGAACCCATGTGTTGGCGCAAAAATTTGAGCACACATCAATGTATGGATAAATCATAACCGACAAACTCGTGGCTCTTCCTGTAGAAACTGAATGCTACCTTTTCTTTTATGAAAGTGGACTATTCAATTTTCACTTATAATCATAAAAACCCGTGAACGATTACCCCGAAGGGACTATGTTGTGGCTACCAGACCTAGGGCTGGTCTAGGGTCATAGTGCCACCTAGAACACCTCAAGTCGTCATTGAGATAACTAGCATGTATATCTCTTCATGTTCCAAAATTGAGAATGAGTTTAGTTGCTTAAATTCAAAAGGTTAATCAAAGAATTTGGTTAAAAATATTAAAATATAAAACAAGTTTGATTCATTTTAGTTTATAATAATTTTGTATCTATTTTTGTTAATTTGTGTTTCTTTCTGTTAAAATAAAAGAGCTCTCTTGTTTTGTAGTTGATTGATTGATTGAATTCCAAATAAAACTAATGTTTATAGGAAATTCTCAAATATCGCTTACTTCATATAAAAGGAAATCCTAATGACTTGAATTCTCTAAGTTTGAGAATGTCTTGTTTAAGAGACTAAGTATTTTTTTAATGGGAATTGAATTATGGAATAGCCTTCTAAACTTAATTAACTATTTGTTCTCGATAGGCCCCTCTTAGTCTTCTTTTCCAATCTTGGATTAGGGAATGAAGAAGGAGATATTCACGACTACTGGCATCTTCATTATGCGCCAACTCATGATCTTCATATCGATATATTATCCACCTCTGCGTCTATTCTTCTTAGCTAAATAGGTGGAAGATCCATCCAATGTAGTGATATCATGGACTCAAAAAATAGATCTGAATGTGACTAAAATACACGATCTTCACATGTATCACTTTTCATGATACCTTAACCTAAAAGGTGGAATATCGATTTTTGAACCATTTCCTATAAGAGAATGACTCCATTACTTTGAGAAATGGATTCTATATCAATAGGAAGCATACCTTATCCGACTAAGAAAGAAAATCAACCATATAACCCTACCCCCAAGCTAAATAAGGCACGTAGGGTCCCTTGGTCAGGACTGAGCCAATAGAGGCCACAAAACATCCACATCTACATACGAAAACAAGCAATATAAACCACCAAACACAAGACATAAGGTATTACCATTCTAAGGGCCCGAACCTGTCTAAACTTGTGTCTTTTGTGTTACTATCTAGCTCTAGATCCAAAGCATATATAACCAACCTAATAATTATTGGGCATACCCTCATATGTTCACTATTACTGGTAATTGCCAACTATAATGGTAGAAAAAAACAAGGTACATGTAGGTAGTTTTGCTATTATTCATGTTATACAAAAGATATCCTTAGACAAAGAAATATTCCTAAATATTCTAAAAAGTATGATCCAAACTATTTCACTTGGAACTCCATGTATAACATATCTCCCCTTAACCCAACTATAAAAGCATTAGGTGGGGTGCATTACAGGGAGGTCACAGTTAGATTGAAAAAAAGACTAGAAGCTAGCCAATAAGACACCATATCATATCCAAATCAAGAACCTTTTGACTACACATTTAGGACTTTACATGAGGTCATATGATTAGATCTAAAACATACATGTTGCAATAATCTTCTTTTGATATAATGAAGAAAAATACTAGATGTAGGGATATTACCACTTGGGAATCCTAAATCTACATAACTTATTGTGTTTTCATGTTCGATACACTATTTTGGTGACAAGAAATCCCTACTTAATAAAAATATTTTGCATTGTAAACTTTTTAATCATTGACACTTTCTAAGACTTGAAATCTTATATTTGAAACAGAAGAATCATATTTTTGAATTCTTGAAGTTTCAACTTTAAAATGAACTAAAACAATTAGTCTAACATCTCTAAAACTTGAATCATGTTAGAGTTCTCAAAACTCATTAATGTTCTAAAAGTATAGTTAAGTCTTTCCTTTATAAGAAAACTGTTGCTGCGCATGCACCAAAGAACAATTGTTTCCTCTTGCAGTTACAATGGTGACATTTCTCGTAATACCCTCCTCCCCACATGGCATACCACAATCTCATACTCACGGATGCTACTATCACATGCCTACAAATAAACTCCTAAAACCATTCAATTTCAACCGTAGTGGTTAAGTCACACCCTCACAACTCAACCACCACACAAGAATTAGGTTGTTACCACCTAAGGGCAAGTACATTGGTGATTAGTACACGTAAGCAGTCTTATATATATGTTGTCTCATCCAATGCTAGGGCTGGGCATTCGGTTTACGGTTCCGTTTTGGTTCGGTTTCTCGGCTTTTTGAAGAAATTCGGTGTAGTGATTTACCTTTAATTCATTCTTAAAATTAATCACCAACATAGGTGTAGTGATTTAAATTAACTATTTTCACGAGTTTTGGTGATTTTATAATTATAGGTGAATTTACTCAGAAAATAAGATAAAACAGGCCATAATATCACAAGAGATCAGATCCAATCGCGATGAAACCAACTCTATTGGGCCCAAACCATCCCCTTCATGGGACAGAGATAAAATTCCACGTGGACGGGGCCATGGTGGGGTCGGCTGACCCCACCTATAGGTCGGGCGACCCCCCTGGACCCACTTGTCGGCGCCGCGGTTCCTCCACCGACTTTGAGGATCAATCTCCACCCTTTATTCAAGTCGGTTTGATCCAATGGTGGACGTCAGAATTGGTGAGGATCGATGACGTGGCGATTACTTGCTCCCTACTCAAACCCTCCTATAAAAGGAGCCGAAGACCCCCTCCTGGAGAGCATCTTGATTCATTCAGAGATCCAATTCAGAAGAAGAAAGTAGAACTCCAAATATCATTAGTTCTAGTATAGTTAGCATAAGTAAGATTCAAGTAGATTAGTGCTATTACTCGGGGTTCCGGATTTGTCTCCGGAAGACTTGGTAAAGTTAATGTATCATTTATCTCTTATTGTGACTTTGATCTTAATTTATATTGTGTTTCTCTTTATTATGTTTTTAGTTTATTTCAAGTATATGCATGGTATAGTTTTAGTTACCTTTGAGTTTATATATGAGTTCATAGAGCGCTCAATTCAGTACTCGAGTGAGTTGAGTAGCCGAACTTTGTGAGCATGGTGCTTAGACATAGTTTTGCCTGTGGATACTACTTATATTCTGAGACTTGGTAGATCAATGTGTGTGATATTTTCTCATTAATTCTCTGTAGTCCAAGCTCGGCTTGTAGGCTTAGTAGGACCGTAGTCATTAATTGAGTAGTTATATTATTATATCTCTCTTTAATGATGTCCCTTATATATAAATAAGAAGTTGATTATTGTTTTAGTGTGTATATTTATGTGACTTGTTAATTAGAAATAAATGAAAAATCTTTCTTAACTTAACTATATATAATATTTTATGAGTATCTACTTCTCTCTGAATTGTTATGAACTGATATTACTGAATATCTTAAACTTACCCCTGTATAAGAGTAAGTGTTTAAGTTAATGATTTTATCATAAATAAATATTTATCAATACCATCCTTGCCATCTTTCCTCCCAATGGTAAAATATAAATAACGATACCCAGATTACTCCCAGTTAAATGCTACAATAGTATATCTGTGCGCTTGCAGAATTTTTAATTTCTTACTTACACTATAAAATACCAACATTCGGTTCTTAGAAAATGGGAATCGATTGATTCTAAAAAATTCTCAGAACTGGCCATTTCGATCGGTTTTCGGTTATTTTGGTTTGGTTCCGGTTCAAGCCAAACTAACCAAACTTTTTCAGGAGAGGTTAAGATAACAATAAGTACCTGTGTTCTAAAGCAAATTTATGCAACACTATATCCATTTTAGATAATAATAATTTAAAATGGAACAATAGCAATATAAGAACATAAATATATAGCAGTTCAAATATGAAGCATCACACATAAACCAAACATAATCTTATAAAATGCAAGTGAAGGAAGTATAATTCATGTAATTCGGTTCTTTCGATTAATCGATTATCCGAGAGTAGGAACCGAATTTTCTTCGGCTATTTAGGTTCCTCAATATCAGGAACTGAATTTTTCAGTTCTGGTTCTTTCGGTTTGGTTTTTCGGTTTCGGTTAATTATGCTCACGCCTATCCAGTGCCACATTGGATTTTGGATGGTGTGGATGAGAGACAGTGGGAGGGGGTTAGGGAAAGAGGCGGTTGTTTGGAATTAACACAAAACAACCTAAAAGACTACACATTATATGAGTTGCCTGTTGAGTCATCTCAAGACTATATGGCACAACATCACACCGACTATAAGATGATACCAATGTACTTAAGACAATATGTTGGAGTTATAACCCACCCGAAGAGTAAGGTCCTCCATTTGTACTCACCAAGGCAGCTATGGTGTGTATCCTTAGATAGGAAGTTAAGCTCAATTTAATCAAATGAGATTTTTATTATCTATCTATCCCATTGACCAGGACAACATAATTAATGTGCCCTATCAATCAAGTAAGGCACAAAATTATCCTCAAATGCAAGTGAAATCGGCATTCACCCATTTCATTCCTCATTTCTTTTTACCAAAAAAAGCTAAGAGGATGGAAGTCGGAAGGCAAATAATTCATCTCTTTTGGATTATTCATAGACAAGAAATCTATAGTCTAGTGATCTTGTCTCAAAATTAGTGATTTCTTACTCCCTACCATAGGAATGACATAAGTGAAATCAGCGATAGAATATAGTTAAGTACAAAAGGTAATTCTTTCTACTTACAACTTTCTATGAGTGTAATTTATAGATGTTGAGGTAGAAGGTTTCCATGTCACATCTGTCTTCTTGTTGGAATCCTCTATCTTGTATTTATCTTTGTTTTCAATGATGCCATCAAGCCTCATGTTGATGGCTCTAATTTTTCTAGATAGGCCGCGTCTCATCCGTACTTGAATTGTGAATGTTTCAAGATATATCATAGTAGGACGAGCCCACCTTGGGTACCTTCAGAATGCATATATGGCATATTATAAATTAGAGAAGACTCTTGTGAACCTATGTGGAGCTGGAGCAAATATAAAAGAAGCACTGTTCATAACAAAAAATTGTAGAGATATTACAATGAAAAAACTAAGGATATATTATTCCAGATTTGCTCCACATCAATTGTCTGATCTGTTGCAACCATTCGGCCATCAATTTTGTGGATTGTAGGGTCATGATCAGACATATGATTGTCTAGTGTAATTGTTTTGCATAGCCCTTTCATGTTAATTAGAGAGGCAGTCTTCTAGAATCATTTTTTCTGGTAGTGTATTGCCAATCTACTTCCTCCATTCCAAATTATAAGATGTTTTGACTGCACTGAGAAAGCTATGTAGTAGTTAAAAAAGCTAAAACGTCTTATATTTGGAACCGAGGAAATATTTCACAACCTTGGTTGGGACTAACATACTTGCATAGGGGTTTGGGGAATACTATCACTTGTTGGTACTTAAAGCTCTGTCACTACTACACAAATCTTTTTCAAGGCGGATATTTTTTTATTACCGAGGCGGTGAAAGCTCTAGTTTGGTTTTGGTGAATTGATGAAACCCTAAGTGCTAACCTAGTTTATCAAGATGATTATGAGATAGGTAGCACTACTCCAAGTGATGAAGCAATGACGAAGATCATGATAATGGTGATAGCATGGTGATGATCAAATGCTTGAACTTGGAAAAGAAGAAAGAGAAAAACAAAAGGCTCAAGGCAAAGGTATAAAATGTAGGAGCCATTTTGTTTTAGTGATCAAGACACTTAGTGAGTGTGATCACATTTAGGATAGATAGCCGTACTATTAAGAGGAGTGTAACTCGTATCGAAATGCGGTTATCAAAGTGCCACTAGATGCTCTAACTCATTGCATATGCATTTAGGATCTAGTGGAATGCTAACACCCTTGAAAATATTTGTGAAAATATGCTAACACATGTGCACAAGGTGTTTGCAGGGTTGAGATGGGTTTGGGTCCCTCTCTCCCTCCCTTGAAGCTTATGAGGCGGGATTCAACGCTTTGGAAAAATGAAATGTCTATTTTCTATTGCGCGGATGCAAAATTCTTAGTGGTTGGCACATTTGAGCAAGGGTGAGGAAGTTAGAGTTGAAATGGAGTTGGTCGAAATAATCTTTGGCGTCGGTCCTGTCTGCGGACCTTTGAATCGAATCTGTATAGACCGGACGCCGACCTGCGTGCGGTCGGTCGCTACTTCGGCTGACGGCTGAAGAAGGAAGGTTGAGCACCGGACGCCGGTTCTCTGCGTCCGGTCAAGGTGGACGGACGCGTCCGGTCGAAGAAACATGCCTCGGGAGCTTCTTTGAACGACCGGACGGCCGAGGCTTCAGCGTCGGTCGTTCGAAGGAGGCGGCGTCCGGTCGAGGTGATGACCGTTGAGTCTGGACACGTGGGCGACATCGAGCAACCGGACGCCGAGCCAGCTGTCCGGTCGATCTGACCGGAGCGTCCCGGTCGAACGCGCTTTACTTGATAAAAGGGTATAACGGCTCTATTTGATGGGGGCTCTATTTATAGCCCCATGGCCGCTCAAGGGATAACTCTTGCACATTTTCATTGACATAGCAAGCTTGTGAGCCTAGCCAAAGGACTCCCACTCATCTACATCATTGATTCATCATCATAGTGAGATTGGGAGTGAATCCAAGTGCATTGCTTGAGTGATTGCATCTAGAGGCACTTGGTGATTGTGTTTTATCATGGATTTCGCTTGTTACTCTTGGTGGTTGCCGCCATCTAGGCGGCTTGGAGCAGCAAGGATCGTTGAGTGGAGGAGGTGATTGTCTCCGACTCGATCGTGGTGATTGTGAGGGGTTCTTGACCTTTCCCGGCGGGGCGCCAAAAGGTACTCTAGTAAATTGCTTGTGGCTTGTGTGATCCTCATCTTGTGTTGGTTGTGCGGCACCCTATTGAGGGTTTGGCGAGTGATGCCAATTAGCGCGTGAACCTCCAAGTGAGTGAATCGCCCTAACGAGGACTAGCTTGCAGGCAAGCAAGTGAACCTCGGTAAAAATCATTGTGTTCATCATTTGATTCCGAGGTGATTGGTCATCATTGTTATTCATCTTCGTGATTGATTGGTTCATTCATCTACACGGTGGTATAACCCTCTTGATCACTCTCTTTACTTTACATAAACTAGTTGACAAGCTCTTTAGTGTAGCTAGTTGTGAGAGCTTGCATGCTTGGTTGGTGTGGCTCTTTAGTTAGCCTTTGAGAGCACACTAACATAGGGTAGTGTCATTGCTCTTGTGTGAATTGACACTATCTAAACTAGAATTGTGGTAGGTGGCTTGCATTTTTGAGTAGGCTAGCGCAACACTAGCTTTCGCCTCATAATTGTCTAACCATTTGGTTAAGTGTTGTTGTAGAAATATTTATTAGGCTATTCACCCCCCTCTAGCCATTAGGACCTTTCAAGTGGTATCGGAGCCGAGGTCACCGTTATTTGAGGCTTAACAACCTTGGTGTTAAAATGGCTCAAATCAACAACACCAAAAAGCCACCCCAATTTGATGGCTCAAATTATTCTTATTGGAAGTCAAAGATGGCCACACATATCAAGTCAATCAATAGAAAGGTGTGGAAGGTGGTAGAAACCAAAATTGAGATTAGTGATCCGGAAAATCCCACATGTGAAGAAGTACTTCTCCAAAACAATGATATTGCACTAAGTGCCATTCATGATGCAATTGATGCAAGAACTTTTGAGCAAATCAAGAATATTGAGATGGCACATGAGGCTTGGAAGAAGTTGGAAGAATCTTTTGAGGGTACTCAAGCCGTGAAGGGTGCAAAAGCTTATATTCTCAAAGAGAAGTTTGCGAGCTTCAAAATGAAGGAAGATGAGAGTGTCTTGGGACATGTTCCACCGGATGGAAGTGATTGTCAATGATCTCAAGGCACTCGGTGAGAACATAGAGGACAAGGACTTCTCAAATAAGTTCTTGAGATGTTTGCCCGCAAGGTTCAAGATATTGGTCACCTTGCTAGTAAGGAGTGGTTTGAACACAATGACACCAAACCAAGTCTTGGGAGATATCATGACCGATGATGCCTATAGAGATGATGATGAGAAGGAAGAAAAGAAAGAAAAGAAAGATGAGAAGAAGGATGACAAGAAGAAGAGTGTGGCTTTCAAGGCCACATCATCTAAGGGCAAAGCCAAGCAAGAAACATCAAGTGAGGATGATGATTCATGGGATGATGATGATGATGAGAGAATGGCTCTTTTGTCAAAAGGTTTGGCAAGTTCATGGTAAAGAAGGGCTATCGAGCTAGAAGAAAGAAGTATTCATCCAAGAGCAAGGAAGAGGCAAGGAGATGCTTCAAGTGTGGAAGCAAAGATCATCTTGTTGCTCAATGCCCATATAATAGCGACAATGATGATGACAAGAAGAACAAGAAGAAGGACAAGAAAGAAAAGAAGGAGAAGAAGGACAAGACATTCTTCAAGAAGAAGAAGGGTGGATCATATGTGGTCACTTGGGATAGTGACGCTTCCTCAAGTGATGATGATGATGATAGTGATGATCACAAGATCACCAAGAAGAAGGTTCTTGCAAGTATAGCAATCAATGAGAAGCCTTCTCTCTTCGACTCTCCATCATGCTTCATGGCTAAGGCCACTAAGGTACAAACTTGTGATGATGGAAGTGATAATGAACATGATAGTGATAGTGATAATGATGATGATGAACCCACTAAAGATGAATTAATTGACATGCTAGAAGATGCTAGAGAACACTTTAACATGTCAAGAAGGGAATGCAAAAGCTTGCGTGAAATAAAGCCCTTAAGCAAGCATTTGATGAGCTCAATGCATCTCATGAGAGGCAAGAGGATGCCCATGAGAAGCTTGGCAAGGCTCACAAAAAGCTTGAAAAGCTCATTCCACTTTGCTTAATGAACAAGATAAAAGGAAGCATGTTGAAACTTGTGATGTAGGTTTAACTTGTGATTTAATTGATACATCACTATCTATGCCTATCATTGTTCCTCCAACTAACCCTTCTTGTAGCACTTCCACTTCTACCTCATCTAGTAGTGATGGTCACACTAGTGATACCTCACTAGTGGTTGAGAATGAGAACCTCAAGAAGGAGGTAACTAAGCTCACTCACACCTTGGCTAAGGCTTATGGTGGTGAGGACCGCTTGCTTATGGCCTTGGGTAGCCAAAGAGCTTCTCTCTACAAAGAGGATTAGGCTATACCCCAAGAAAGGCAAGGCGGCCTTTGCTCCTCACAAGACTAGTTTTGTGAAGAACAATGGTCGGTTTTGCACTAGTTGCAAGCAAGTTGGTCACAAAGAGCATGAATGCACCAACAAAAGCAAAAATGCTAATGTATCCTTTATTAAGCTAGATTCATGTTATATGCTTAGAAAAGGTGCAAATGGTGTTCATGCTAAGTTCATTGGTAAACCATGGATGGGCTCAAAGAAGAAAGCCATTTGGGTGCCAAAGAGCTTGGTTACTAACATTCAAGGACCCAAGCAAGTTTGGGTACCTAAAAAGAATTGATCTTCTTTTGTAGGTCAATTACAAAGCTGGAGGAAGGCATTGGGTTCTTGATAGTGGGTGCACTCAACACATGACCGGTGATGCAAGAATGTTCAACTCAATCAACACCAATGGCAATGATGGCTATGATAGTATCACATTTGGTGACAATGGCAAAGGCAAGGTCAAAGGGCTTGGTAAGATTGCAATATCCAATGACTTGAGCATATCCAATGTGTTGCTAGTAGAGAGCTTGAACTTCAATTTGCTATCCGTGGCTCAATTGTGTGATCTTGGATTCAAATGCATATTTGGGGTAGATGATGTAGAAATCATAAGTGTAGATGGCTCTAACTTGATCTTCAAAGGCTTTAGATATGAGAATCTATACTTGGTTGATTTCAATGCTAGTGAAGCTAGATTATCTACATGCTTGTTCACTAAGTCA